TTGCCCCCCCACCCCCCTGCTAGATTCTGCTCTCCCTGAGCATATAGCAATAAGCAAATTTGAAAACAGACTTTGAAATAAATGTGCCTGTAGTAACTTAGTTCATTCAGAATTGATGCATTTTACCTCTTCTGAAACTGTTGTAAGTTTCAGCATAGGTACTCCATACACACACTTTTAACCAGCACTTTTGTACCTACTGATATACAGTAAAAACTATGTATAATTAGGGACCTACTGAAATCAGGGCAGTAGTGTGCTGTGCAGCAGCTCCTTTAATCTTGCTTGTTTCGCCACACCCCTGATTCGTGGAGGGGCCCTAGCAGCCCTGCTACTTGATGCTGATTGCTTGGGAGGCAAAAACTGCTGCATATTTAAAAGCATAGTTTTTGCCTTCCCAGCTGATCAGCAGCAAGCGGCAGGGCTGTTGGGGCCCCTCCATCAATTGGGTGCACTCTCAGCAACTTTACAGATGACACCAAACTGGGAGGGGGGGAGTAGTAGATATACTAGAGGGTAGAGCTAGGATTCAGAGAGACCTAGGCAAATTGGAGGATTGCACCAAAAGAAATCTCATGAAGACAAGTGCAAAATCTGGCACTTAGGATAAAACAATCCCACGCATAGCTACAGGCTGGGGACTGACTGGCTAAGTAACAGCTTTGCAGAAAAGGACCTGAAGGTTACAGTGGACAGTAAGTTGAATATGAACCAACAGTGTGCCCTTGTGAAGAAAGCTAGTGGCATACTGGGCTGCATTAGTAGGAGTGCTGCCAGGAGATCAAGGGAAGTGATTTTTGCTCTCTATTCAGCACTGGTGTCCCCCACTACAGAAAGGATGTCAACAACTTGGAGAGAGTCCAGCAGAGGGCAGTGAAAATGGCTTGAGGTGCATGAGTTCTGAGGAGAGGCTGAGGGAACTGGGCTTATTTAGTCTATGGAAGAGAAGACTGATTTAACAGCAGCCCTTAACTACCTGAAGGGAGATTCCAAAGAGGGTGGCTGTTCTCAGTGGTGGCAGATGACAGAACAAGGAGCAATTGTCTCAAGCGGCAGCAAGGGACATTTAGACTAGATATTAAGAAAAACTCTCAATAGCAGGGTGGTAAAACACTGGGGCAGGCTACCCAGAGAGGTTGTGGAATCTATCCTTGGAGGTTTTAAATATCTGGCTAGACAAAGCCTTGACTAGGATGACCTAGTTGGGGATGGTCTTGCTTTGAGGAGGGGGTTGGACTAAATAACTTCCTGTGGTCCCTTCCAGTCCTAATTTTCTATGATTCAAATCCCAACTATGATGATTTTTAAGGTGACCTTGGAAGCTGCTTAAACAAAATAAATACTGTTTATTTTCCAAATAAATGCAATATTTACATGGCAAAGGTGCATAATTAGACAATGTATTAAAATCAGGAGCTATGTGTATGATGGAACACAAGGATAAAACTATATTCTAGCTTAACCTATACATACACTCTTATTCAGAATATATTGGGGTCCTAAACTGAAACATTATTTTCTAACTTTTCTGCTTCCTGTTAGGAAATAAGTAATTGTACCTGGCAATACCTTTTAGCAGATGAAGAGGCTTATACTTCATAACACTTCAAAAAATGGTTTCAGGTTTTATCCTCTTCATCTGCTAAAAAGCAGTTTTGATTTGCAGTCTTGTTTGGAAGAGCTCTTCAGTTCATATATATTCTTGAGTGACATTTGTATAAAGAATTTAAATGAAATCCACAAGGTGATGCTTTCTTTTCAGATACCTTGTAGATGTAGCAAATCCCCTTAAGGAACTGCTTAAGCAGGTAACTGGCATCCTGACAGTCATTTCAGGTGTCAAGACTAAGTGGAAAGATGTAACGTATCATTTATTTTTTTTAAGATAACAGCAACTTAATTTCTACAAAAAATATGTTGGTGTAGACGTTTAGGAGCAAATTCTACTACCTGCACTAGCCTTACCTATACCAGGAATTTGGACTGTTAGAGAAACAGTGTACTCCTACTGATCTGAATCTAAAAAAGACATTAGCGTAAAGGGAGAGACTGTTCCTTCTCCTCCATTGCAGGTGTTGGGATTGTAAACAGCAGCTTACAAGCCCATTGTTACAAGAGGTGGAGAATAGATATTGCTTCCATAGCCTGGGCAATAGTGTAAAACCCTCCTGTCCAGTATTGTAGAAGCATAATTATTATTATGCTATTAACTACACGGCACAATTATGCACAATGTGGTTTTGCAGACTAATCTGTCTCACCATCAAGTCTCCACTGGTGTTTTCTATCCCAGCTTGTGCCATTAGGTCAGTGACATGCTTTTCCAGGTCACTGATTCGCTCGCCCATTTCATCCAGTAAAAAGTTAAGGAGAACTTTAGAGCTCCTGCTACTCATAATACAGTTTTGCTGGTTTTAGCTTCTATAAATGTTTCCCTGGGTGAAGTTCCTCTTCCTCAATAGCATACCTATTTCTGGCTCACCTGATGCAAACTGAAGTGGGCAGGGACACCGCAGGACAATCTCCTTCGTTACTCTTATAAAGAGAAAAGGAGCTGTGCTCTGAATGTGATTCAGACAGTCTACCTACCGAGTAGAGCTGGAACATATTTCATCCTTAAAGAACCTGTTCTCTTGCAAAATGTGCCTCAATAAATTGCTGTGAAAATGTAGGCTACCTGGTAATTATATAAGGTAAGTTCTAGCTGCATCTACCGATGTACCAAAAAGGCACAACTGTGTTCAATCTCTCTCTGAATACCAAACAGAAGTACAAATGCCACTAGATCCTGAGTCATAACCAAGCCCCCATCCCACTCCCTGGCATGATGCTTCTTTATACAATTTAAACAATCTTCTATCACATTTCCCCCTATTCAGTTCTGAATACAGGGAGTCACAGTAAGGATATTTCTCAGGGATAACTCTGCAGTCAAAGCTTGAAAGTTGTCCTGCAGCTGCTCTAGCAAGTTCTCTGCCTGGAGGAAAAAAACAGACTAATGAAAGCATACCTCATCCAGACCATCCCTTGACTTGAGCTTTGTATCCTGTGAAAAGGAAAGCCACTGCAATAATTGCATGGGAGCCCGGTGAAAGGTAAGATTCACACATTCATAGATTGCAAGGCTGGAAGGGACCTCAAAAGATCATCGGGTCCAGCCCCCTGCACCAAGCAAGAAAGACAGGTGGGGTCAGGTGACCCCAGCAAGATGACTGTCCAGTCTCCTCTTGAAGAGTTCCAGGGGCACAGGCCTTGGGAAAGCAGTGCGTGGTGGGAAGCTGACAACAGAAAGAGCACAGGGAAGCATATATAGCAGCCAGTCCCAACCTGTTAGTTGTGGCCAGGGCGTGAATTAAGGAGGAGCTTGGAGACAACCCTCTAAAATTTGAAAATCATAACCTGGGGGGGAGGTCTCTGATTAGATTGCTCCTTCACTTAGGTGGACTTGTTAATCAATGAACCCATCTAATATTTTTGCAGACCCTCCCCCCTCCCCCAAGAATCAACGTGTAACTCCAACCCTAGAGGAGACCCCAAACGGGGTCCAACATCAGCGCATGGCGGGTGGGGGCGGGGAGTGAGGGGCCAGGGAAGCACTGAGCTACAGTCTATACACGTGGCTGAGGGGTCAGAAAAACCGTGTCTAGCCGGGAAGAGGCAGAGGCCTCCTAGGTCACTGCGGCACCACTCCCACGCTGCGATGCTAAGTCAAGCCGCCCAGAGCGGAGAGCAGCTCCCGGGTCTACCCCTAAGCAGGAGCCGGTGCAGCCCCGCGGGGCTCAACAAAGGGCGGGAGGGGGCGGCGCGCAGCGCACTGCGACAGACCAAGGAGCCCTTGTCCCCGAGCGCTCGGCGGCGGGGCGGGCTCGGCCCGTACTCACGAAGCGCGAGAGGCCGCGGGCGCTCTGCGGGTCGCTCTCTGCCATGCTGCCCGGCTCCTGGCCTCGCCCTGTCCCCGCTCCGCCCGGCTCCCGCCTTCCCGGGCCGCCAAGCGCTCAGCGCCCAAGCAGGGCAGGAGCCCGCCCGCCAGGGCGGCAGGGAGCTCTGGCCCGTTGGTGCCAGCCCCCTTCCCCGCCAACCAGCTGCCACATACCTCGGATGCCAGCCACTCCCTGGGAGGGGTGGAGACGCCCCGGCTGGCAGATGCGCTGCGCACAGAGGCAGGTAGCGCCGACAGCCAGCAGTCAGGGCGGAGATGTTCCTGAGGGACGAGCTGGACGTGCTGTAGAGCAGCGATCCTCAGCCAGGCCAACGCAGCCCCTGGGGTGCCGCGAGAACCTCCAGAAGGGTGCCCTGCAATGCTAGCACTCTTCACCGCCCCACTGGGTACTCGTAGGGTGTGCACCCCCGAGACTGGCCACCGCCGATGATGTCGGCGGCACCTGTGGGTGGTCGCTGCTCGCCACCTCCCCCCCCCCGCTGGTCGGCGCTCGCCACCTCGCTGTCCCCGTCGCTGACGCCGCTGCAGCTGCCGGCGGGACCTCCCTGCTCGCCACCACCACACCCCCACCAACGCCACCACCGCCTGCGGGTGGTCACTGTGTCCCCCAGCCTCGGGAGGCACATGACGTTCATGCACACACATTGAACCCAGAGACTTCAAGTATCCAGGCTGTAGCCGTAGTGGTCTAGAGCAGTGGTTCTCAAACTTTTTTTTCCCACGAACCACTTGAAAATTGCTGAGTGGTCTTGGCAGACCACCGAATAAGCTTTTCTTTGTTCTACAAATCAAAGCGCACAACTTATATTTTAATATCAGTAGTCGTATCTTTTAAGTACAGATATTCTTGATTGCTCCACAACCTTTCCGCAGACCACCCGAATGGAGCTCGTGGACCAGTGGTGGTCCGCAGACTGCAGTTTAAGAACCTCTGGTGTAAAGGAAAAAGGAATCAGGGCTTGTGGGCAGGGGTGATATCTTTTATTAGCCCAACAAGCTTTCAGGGACAAACACCCTTCATCAGGCATCAGAGAAAGGTGTTTGTGCCTGAAAGCTTGCAATTAAAGACATTTTTTTTGCAAAAATCTTGTTGGTCTAATAAAAGATATCACCCCTGCCCACAAGCCCTGATTCCTTTTTCCTCTAGACCAATATGGCTACAACCTGGATACCTGACACATGGAAGATATCAAATTTTAGCCTATTTTTTCAATTAAATCTTCATATTCGCCCAAGCAGGAAACAACTTTGACCACCTGAAACCTGAGATCCTGCTCCTGCTTTGTCTAAGGTAATTTGTACCATCATCACAGCCTCACAGGAGAGCTGAGACTCCTTACCAGCTAAGAACTGATGCCCAGAGAGTTTTTCCATTTACTGACTCCTCTGTGAAATCTTATGAAATATGAACTTCATTTCTACCCAGGAGAACTTTTACAATCTTTTCTCTGATGCCTGATGAAGGTTGTTTGTACCCAAAAGCTTGCAATTAAAGAATTTTTTTTGCAAAAATCTTGGTCTAATAAAAGATATCACCTCTGTCCACCAGCCCTGAGACTTCAGGTAGAAATCCAGAGTGCCTTAAGCCGCCTGCCTTGTTGTGAGTTTTCTCTGTTCTTTGCAACAGAAGAAAGGCTCTTTTTTTCCTTTCCACAGCCAAAAAACGAGTGGAATCTGTCTTTGAAACAAGGTGCTGCTCAATTCCAAAATGTTCCAGAGTCAAACAAGTTTGAGAACTGCTGCTGTAGACAGACTGAGGGATGTACACACCCCAGCTCTCTGTGCTAGGGCTGCCTCACATCCAGAACTGGAGAGCCAAACACTGGAAAGGCACTGTATACACAAGGTTAGGTACATAAGTACACTCATGATCCTGCCCTGAGCAGGCAGCTGGACCACATGGCTTCTTGCAATCTTTTCTTGTCCTTTTTTTCTGTTTTTTTTCTACGCGTACAAGCTCATTAGCATATACAGGTAGTAAAACCAAATAACCTAATGCTCCTCTCTGGCCTTCAGTGAAGAAACACATTAGGAATACATGAACAAACAAATCCATGGACGTGCACACACAGACGTGAATGTTAGAGACTAATTCATTCACTGGCATGGACAGGCACAGACAGGTGGCTAAATACTGTTACTCATACCATCTCTCTTCCTCCCTTACAGTCACAAAATGAAAAAGAACATCTCCATGTTTGACATTTGTATGTGGACTGCCACCAAAAATGGCACAGTATCTCTAACAGACATAGGGCTTTGTTGCATGGGACATTTAACATATACTGAAATTAGAATATGGTAAACTTAGACAATGCTTACTACTATCTCATGACATGCATAGCTTGTGTGCAACAAAACCTCTGCATGTTTTGTTTCAATTACTGGATCCCACCAGTGCCCTGCATCAGAGCTGTTAGAGACTGTTGCAATCCTAGGTCTGGGATCAAAAATCAGCTGATTTTCAGCCCCAGATGTGGGACCTCACCGGAGCCAGTTTGGAGACTTTCATGCTGTCCTTCTGCTGGGACCTACAATCAGTGGATTGGGAGCCCCAGCCCCGGACTGCAATGAATTGGATTATCTCTGTGGAGCAGTCCAACATTAGCTCAACAATGTGTTACTTAATACAATCTAGAGATACTTCTTGCTGGAAAAAAGTGTAACCGTGCTATGACATGATACTGTACCAGTACACTTAGCCCATGTTATCCTGTTAAAATGTGTGAATGTTTGCAATGTAAATAAATTTAACACATGCTAAGTGTGCCGTGCAACTTGACCCATACATAAACTGCCCAACCCAGTTGGGTGTCAAACTTTTTGACAAGCCTGCCACTAATTAGGTCTGCAACCTCCCCAAGTGTTACTCATATCCTCTTCCTCTGCCCAATCTGCTATTATGATGCTTGTTTCCTTCCTGATCTGCCTGTGCCACTTGTGATGTGTGGCACAGGTTGGTGACTCCTGGCCTCGCTTAAATTTTTCAAATGAGTGAATAAACAAGTGACTCTGCTTCCATTTCTGATGATAACCTGAATGTTTACTGTTAAGAAAATAGGCATAGCCGCTTATCAGAGTGCAAATTTAAAAATATGCACAATTATTTTACATAGAATCTCTCGCCATTAAATGAGACTTTAAATGTGAAGGCTGACCGCTATAAAACATTAGCATAATCAAAGTGACACTGACACAGTTAAAAAGAAAGGAAAAAATGCATTGGATTCAATAGCCTGTCATTTTAATATGTGAATATGTGGATTCAATCCAAAAAAGCAGCATTCTAAATTATTAAATTCATGTTGTATCAATACAAAACAGCATTAAAAATGTGAAACATAATGGCAGACAATAAAAAGATAAAAGCAGATTAAAAACAAAATCCTATTCTGGGGATTGTTTTTGTTCACTTGCTTGCTGGAATTTGTTTTGTTTTGTTTTTAGAGTGAGAGTTTATTTTACTGAGCTTATAAGGAAGAAGGTAGCATTTAGAAGAAATAGCTTGAACAAGCCAAGAGCAGAAGGGTGGAAACAGTATTGATAGTTTACTGAATTGTTGTGGTAACCTTTGTTGTTTGCTTATTTTAACACATGAAAAGGATTGTTGCCTTCCACAACTGACTTTCAGGTACTTCTCCCATTTATCCGAACAGGTAGCTGATCAAGTTCTGCAGCCTTGAGGCCCCCTCTACAGGTTACAGGTATTGCACAATTAACTAGTTAATTGCACCATTACCTAAAGACCAGCTATACATGCAAAGTAGCTATCACACCATACAAAGCTCCAACCAGCTACAAAGTTAGACCTCAAAAATGTGTACTAACTTTATAGCTGGTAGGTATCAAGCTTTTATTTGCACATGTAGAAGGTTTCACCTGCAACTAGAAGCTGCTCCCAGCTGCAGGGGTGAACCATGCCCAGCATAAAACCCCCTAGCTCTAAGGATGCAGCAGCAATGATCTCCAGGGTCTGGGGGTTTCACACAGATCCCCAGACCCTAGGGACCATGGCAGCTGTGATCCCTAGTGTGTGGGGGTGCAGGAAACCCCTGGGGATCATGGCTGCTATAATCCCTAAGCCTGGGGGGTGTGGGAAACTCCTGGGGCTGAAGGACTGCTGCAGGGGTGATTGTCCCATGCCTTGGGGGTGCGAAGAAATACCTTGAGCCAAATGATTACCACAGGGGTGTTCCCCCTGCCCTGGGAAATTGTGATCACTGTGATCCTCCAGCCCCAGCGCTTTCCCACAACCCTCAGGGCAGGGAGATCACTGCAGTTGCAATCCTTCGGCCCCAGCAATGTGTGGGACCCCCTCCCCCAGCTGAGAGCCCTTCAACTGGGATGCATGGGGCTCCCAGCCATGGGAGCTTGCTTCTTGTTAGTGCAGAGGGAGCCAGAGAACAGGTTCCCCCTGCACCAGTCATAAGGTGCATTGGGATCTAATGTATGATTGAATTACGAGTTGTGCATTAGATCCCATTGCACCTTTACCTGCATGTGTAGCGGGGGCCTCAAAAGAGTTTCTCAGGTAAATATTTAGTGGAGAGTTTGATAGATGCTGATTCATTTTCCTTTAATTCAAACACAAAACATTTACAACTAGTAGATGTGCAGTAATGCTGGGTATAGTTTTAAAACTTGAGTTTTAACCAAGTGAGTCTGTGAAATGCTTTTAGATAAATTTTTGTTTTAAATGGCTATGGTTTCCTGTCTTGTAATCGAACTGTTGTTAAATAGCACAGTGAGGTGTTGTTTTTCTCTTAACTGCATAGTACAGTAACCCACACAAAGCCTAAAATGTTCAGTAGAGCAACATGCAAGTAATGATTTGATTTTTCCGGAGACCTGAGTTGCAAGAATTTCCCGTAAAATCTATGAATGTGTTGACATAAGGATATTTTTAGATCTGTAAATTCTAACAAAAGAAGCCAATCTAAGGTGTCTCATTTTGTTTCAACTGTCTTGTGTGGTTGGACACAATGATCTAAGTGTTTAGAATCTAACCAGGCCAAAGGGCTTGAAAAATCAAGCCCAGAGTACATATGTCTATCAGCGTTGTCATCCATATACTCCTCAAGTTCAAAGCCCATTGCACTTTTTACAAAGTTACGCGCCCATAATTAAAATAATTTTTTATTCTAAACTCTGTAATTTATTCTGTCATTCAAGATGAGCTAGCTTAGAATATTGTCAAAATAACCAGTTACTATGGTTGCAGTAATATCTTATTGTTGATTAAAGTGGTTACAATAACCCTTATCAAAAGTAATCCCCAATATCCTTCTTCACCTTCCAGCCTCTTCATTTAACCTTCCCTTCAAATCTGTTCTTTTCCCCTTCTGCATAAAAAGGCAATATTTCTTACAATTGTGGTAGGCTTCAAGGCTCACTGTGTACTCACCTAATATACACACCAGACACCCTTCCTGTCTGCCTCAGCCTTCTAGGCAATGTCATTAGTTCTTCCACTACAGTCTTTGGCCAAACTCCCTTTGTCTCTGCCCAATCCCTCACTGCCAGCAGACCTCTGAAATATTAGAGGTTGGACAGAAACTAACAAGAACTGAAAAATAACCCACAAAGAAAAACTTGACCCCTGTGTGATTTAAACAAGTTCCTGATGTAGTCAAAGGCACTACCGCTGTGACAGGGAAGCACAGGGAGCTGGTTCACACTTCATCCTCAGAATGCCTTATGCTTGCTGGCCATAGGGATTTCTGTCCCTTTCCAGCTCCCTACCATTCATCAGCCTTTACCTTCATGGAATAAAGGAAGATACAGATCCACCCCACCTCACACACTGCAGAGCCAACACAGGATGCAGTCACTGCTTTCCAGGCGCCTACCAAATCCAACTAGGGCTAACATGTACTTGCAGTGCCTCACAGTTTTCCTCACACTGGCTGACAAATACCCTCAGGGAGGCTCTGAAGCCACAGAAAGACTTCCCATAGTATTAAGACTACACAAAGGTTTGAAATCATTAAAACATAGTGTCTGCAATTCTATAGGTTCCCACATTCGCAACCAGCATGTGTGGAGATTTTTGTTTCTTGCTAATTTAGACAAGGCATAGGTAAAGACAGATGACTGGGGTGAGGTGGGGTTGTGAGATGGGAAGGGGATAAAATCATGGTGCCCAGTGGAAGGGGAGGCAGAGAGGAGAGGGGAAGGCCACTAATGGTAATGTAACTTGGGGAAGGAGGTGCAACTGGGGCAGCAGCCCCAGATGCCTCCTTTGTGGGGAGCGCAAGATCAGGATAGGAACCTGTACTTCCCTACCTACCAGTGACCTAAACATAGCTCCATGACTCCTACCACCCCCAGCCAGAAAGACCATTCCAAACCTGGCCCACTCTCTACCCCTAACTCTAACAAGTGAAGAGGGTCTAAGATGTGCAGAGGCTTCTTTTACTTTCAATCACAGCATTTTTAGCTTAGGAAGTGAAGGGAAGATTCATTGTGCTTTGGAAAGCTGGGACTGCTTGTGGGCACTGCAGACTTGCAGTAAAGCTGCTCACATGTGCAGCTCTTTCCCTCCAGCCCCTGACTCCCTTGTCATCCTTACCCGGCCTGCCCAACCTATAGTGACAGTCATCCTCTGCAAGGTGTAAGACTCATTCTTAGCAGGAACCTCCTGCGTGCCCTGGGTGCATCCAGCTTCCTAATTACAAGGGCTAAAAACAGGCAGTGGGTTTAATATGCATTTGTTTAGTCCAAAATCCAATTTACAGTAGACTCCCGACTTACATGTATATTGCGTTCCTGAGAAATCTTGCGTATGTCGAATTCACGCGACTCGAGATGAATTTTCCCATAGGAAATAATAGAAAAGTGAGGGGTTGTGTTCCTTAGTCCTCACATTTATGACACCAAAGGTACCAAAATAAAACCTTTTTCAACCAATACTTTATTTATTATGTTACAAAAACATATTGTAAACATATTTATTCAGTTACATTATAAGAAACACACACAAAAATACAAAATGGACATACAACAAACTTCAATACATCCATCAATGGGGAGCCACGTCTTCATCCAGGTGGAACAAATCAAAAGATGGTGGTGATATCTCTCCCCAGAAGTGGTTGGCTCTCCCCCAGACATGGAGGGCTGAGTGTCGGTCGATTGACTCAGGATAGTGCTGTCTCACTTCCTGAAGAACTTGTCCAAGGAAGACTGCACTGAGCAGCGCCGCTTCTCCCTGTAAAGCTCTGTGTAGAGCTTTACAGGGAGCTTTACATTGGCTTCCTTCATTAGCTTGGCAACCTTAGCACTTCTTTCATGACTGGGGTCGTTTTCATCAAAGAAGGCTAGGTAACCATCCAAAAGTTTGAACGCATCAGCTGTGCCTTTCATCATGAGAACTTGGGGGGAGGGCCTTTCATTTTCTTCCATGGGCTCTTCTTCTTCATGGTGCTTCTTATCCAGCTCAAGAAGATCCTAATTTGAGAGTTCCTCCCTACAGGAATCGAGCAGCTCAGCCATGTTTATAACTTGTTTATACTCGGTATAAAAAAGTGTTGGCTGCTGCTCTGCAGTCTGCTAGTCACTTCTGGACTTCCAGCCTGGCAGCCAACTGTCCTGCAGATTGGCAGCCAACCCTTCACAGCCTGGCACTAGGCCGTGGCCCAGAGGTTGGGAACCTCTGTACTACAGCACTGTATGTAAGACTAAACTAAAACCAGCAGACTAAAGCCAACAGTAAAAGATAAGTCAGTTAGTCAAGTAAAGATTTATCTGCTCCCACTTAGAAGGTACATGCAAGCCAAAATCACCTTGGGATGGAGGACATCAAGAGCCTTGGATCAAGGGGGGGAAAGGCTATTAGTGCCATGCTAAGATCCAAACTCAGATTCATAGCATCTTTTATGAGACCAAATAGTTGGAAAAAATGTTCTTTGCAAACTTTTGGGCAGAAACACCCTTGGTCAGGCAGAGGAAGGGTCAAAGTGGTAATCTGGATGCATCATAGGTACTTCATGGAAGACAATGGGCTTGTCCTCTGTAAGGTGTCCCGCTTGCTGCTAGAGAAAATGCTGAGATCTGAATCAAACTAGTTGTCTGTTTTTTTAAGCCAGTGAAAAATATTAGAAGACATAGAAGGAAATGACTGTGATGAAATGAAGGTGTTTGCAGAAGGGACGCTCCCCAGGCCCCTGGGTTCCCTTTGGGGGCTGTCAGCAGTGCCTCTAGCACAGCAGTCTGAAGCCATGTGGTCTTGGCTCCTCAATCCCCTTCTTGGCCCTCTGGGTTGCTTTCTGTAGTGCACTTTGTGGGAAGCGTTTCTCTTAAGAAGGATTAAGTAGGGGGAGCCTGGAGGTCCCAGGAGTGGCAGGGCAGGCCCTGTGGTGGTTCAGGGAAAGGGTGGACCAGTGCCACTCTTTGTTCAGCTGACCTTGTGGTGCAATGGTGGTGTGTCTGACTCCAGATCAGAAGGCTGTGTGTTCAAATCCCACCAGGGTCACAGCTGCTACTTTTGGACCCACTTCACTTGCCCAGTTCTCTGGCGGACAATATGGTGCAGGCCCCTCTTCGTGTATTTGCCTCTGCCTTGGGCTCACCCTCTGCTTCTCTTGGGGCTGATCTACATGCACTTGCCTGGCTGTGAGCAGCAGAGAGCTATGGGGAGTGGTGCTGTGGGGAAGCCTCAACCACGACCAAGGCTTGCTTTCTTCATGTACCAGTGGGAGGGAGACACTCTTTAGGTTAGGGGTTTAATTCAAAAAAATGAGGGGGGAGGTGTGGCAGAGCCTTTTTCCGTGTGACTCCGTGGCGCAACGGCAGCGCGTCTGACTCCAGATCAGAAGGCTGTGTGTTCAAATCACACCGGGGTCAGCGGTACTCCCTTTTCCCTCAGCAAGCTGGGAGGTGGCAGGCGTGCTTAGTAGGCACAGATCTGTGGGTCTTCATCAGCCGGGGGGGGTGTGGGTGGCAGGGCCATTGTAGCAGCCCCGTGGGTGTGCGGTTGGGAAGCTGCATCTTTGCAGAGGCAACTGCCAATGCACAGCCAGACTCTGCCGAGGGACGCCGCCTGCCAAGGGCCGGGAAAGAAAGCTCCTTGCGTGGCCTCGTGGCGCAACGGCAGCGCGTCTGACTCCAGATCAGAAGGTTGTGTGTTCAAATCACACCGGGGTCATCTTTCCTTTTCTGCCTCTCACAGCCTTTGCTCGCAGTGGGGGCGGGCTGTGCCCGTGCGGGGGATGGCGGCGCTGCATATGCGGGAAAGGCAGCCTGGGGGAAAGCCGAGAGTGGTCGCCGGGGGGCGGCAGGGCCAGATCTGCCTGCGCGGACAGGCTCCGCTCGCTGCCGCCCTCCTTGTGCGAGGAGCCAGCCGATTTCCCTCCCTCTGGTAGGGGTGTGCGCGCGCATGCACGCTTGCCCTGGGTGCGTGTGCACGCGTGCATGTGCCCTCACCCTAGGAGGTGTGTGTGTGTGTGTGTGTGTGTGTGTGTGTGTGTGTGTGTGTGTGTGTGTGTGTGTGTGTGTGTGTGTGTGTGTGTGTGTGTGTGTGTGTGTGTGTGTGTGTGTGGGCGGTCACCCTAGCAGATGTGTGTGTGTATGTGCCCGCGCTCACCTTAGTGGGGGTCTGCTCACCTTAGCTGTGTGTGTGCTCATCGTAGGGGGATGTGTGCCCTAGGAGTGTGTATGCATGCACACATTTCCCCTGGGTGTGTGTGCGGGCATGTACACCCACCCTAGGAGGTGTGTTTGTGTCTGTGAGTGTGTGCGCTCACCCTAGGATATGTGTGTGTATGTGCCCCTGCCCACTTTAGGTGGGATATGCTCACTCTGTGTGTGTGTGTGTTTTGGGAACAGCTTGGCAGGTTTTCACAAGTGACATGCCTTCTGGTCCCCTCTGTCTTCTGGTCCCGGGCAATTCAGGCTTTGCTGTCTGTTGCAAAGCACTGCTGCCTCTCATGCCCACCTGCACTGTGCCTTTTGGAAGGGGCAGCGGGGAAAGCTCTTTGCCTGGCCCCTTAGCTGTGAAACCTAGTACCCCAAGGTACTAGGAAGGGGGTGTGGGGGGTCCTGGAGGCCCCTCTTGCTTTTGGCTGGGCTGGGTGTGTCACTACACGCCTGTCCCCAGGAGCAGTCCAGTCTGAATCCCAATGCTTAGTCTGTGAGAGAAGTGGGTTGTGAGAGACAGTTTCAAGGGAGTCAGGATGCACAGGCCAGTGATCACAGCCAAGGCTGATAAGGCCACCCTAGGAAAGAACAATGGTCCCAGGCCCATGACTCAGTTTCCCTGCTCCCTCCTGAATTGGCCAAGAGCCCCTTATCTCAGAGGAATGGGCAGGAGTGCAGAAACCTGAATTGTATAAAACTCCCCCCACACAAAGGTAGAGACTGGAAATTGCCTGAAGCTTGGAGGAAGGCTTCTGAGGGCTTCCCACCCAGTAGTAAATACATGTCTGTGTATGTATTCTCTGCTGTATGTAGCTGCTCTTGTGAATATTGCCTGACTGATGATGACATCCCAATAAACCACAGTATAGTTTGGAGGAACTTGCTTTGGCTTCTCTTGTACTTCTTCAGATCAAATAAAAGCCCCCAGACACATCTTGGGTGTAATATAAGAAGCAATGGGAAAAGCGCTTTGCCTGCTCCCATGCCATGAAACCTTCTACAAGATCCTGGGAAAATGTCACAAAGCTGTGGCTGCTTGGTCTTGAAGGGGAGGCACAGCAGAGGGCTATTTCTGATAACCATAGTGTGCCAGGGCAGCGTGTCTGACTGCAGGTCAAGTAGCTGTGTGCTAAACCACAGATACCTCCTTTTCTTCTAATTCCCACACCTTACCCCCTGCCTCTGCAGGTGTGTGCTTGCTCCTTCTCACTGGGCGCGTCCACACATGCATTTACACCCAAGTCTACATAAGTTGTCCTATTTATTGTGCAGTACAAGTGTGCTCATATAGCTCTGCGCCTGTACTGTGTAGTCATTTTGGTTACTGTGCAGTAAATGTACACATGTAGATGTGCCTACTGTGCGGTAGTGCGTTGCTACCACACAGTAGCATTGCTGGGCACTAACCATGATGCAATGCTACTGCACAGTAGTAACAGTAGCTTGTTGTTATTGTGCAGCAGTGTCAGAAAAAAACTATGCAGTCACAGTACTATGCAGTAATGCTAGTTACTGCACTGTCATTTAATCCTTGCATAAGCAAGTACTACACAGTAACAAGCGCAGTCTGCCACTCACGTAGACATGGCCCGTGTCTAATGTGCAAAGAGAATAACTTCTTTTGGGGGTGTTGGTTGTAGCTGTGTTGGTCTAAGGACATAGGCAGACAAGTTTATTTGGGCAAACATGATATATTTTATTAGAACAACCGAATAGTTGGAAACATTGTTTTTTTACAAGCTTTTGAGCACAAACACCCTTCTTCAGGCTGACTCTTCAGAGTCTGCTGGTGTCTGTATACCCTCTAGGGTCAAATAGAAGCTTAAGCCAATATGCAAAATGCAGGTCTGTGAAAATGCAAATACAGGGCAGGGAAGATCAGAGGGGATAAGGGTTATTGTGTGTGAGACATGTAGGTGGGGTGGGAAAACAAAAGTAGGGAATGTTGACCTGTGATAAAATGTAGCATAGCAGGTAAAATGTAGAAAGTTTACCTGGGGTTATCAGATGGCAGACAGGTTATAAAGTGCCATAAATCCAATGTCTATATTTAGTGAATTATTTTTTGTCTCCAGTAGATATGTGAAATGAAGTTCCTAGGCTCATCTATGAAAGGTGTTTTGTAAATTCCCTTTGAGGAGTAGAACTGAGAGACTGGAGAGAGAGTGGTTGTCTTGTGAGACATGTGCACTGGATATTATTTAATGTTCTAAGTGTATGGGTACCCTATAAGCACTAGCTATGCCTAGGAGGTTTTTTCTCTGCCTAGGAGGTTTCCTTTCTGTCTTAAGTAGAACATACTTTTCTGATGCCGTGACACTTCAAAGACTGCTGAATTCAATGGAAGGACTCCAGCCCAACTAGTAACACCTTCTAACAGCTGCCCCATGGCTAACAACAGGCACTTGTTCAGCAAGATTTCTGCGAGCAGGCCTTAATTGGAGCTATCATACCATAGAATCATAGAAAGTTAGGGTTGGAAGGGACCTCAGGAGGTCATCTAGTCCAATCCTCTGCTCAAAGTAGGACCATCCCTAACTAGATCATCCCAGCTATAGCTTTGTCTAGCTGGGTTTTGAAAACCTCCAAGGATGGAGCTTCCACCACCTCTCTGGGTAAACTGTTCCAGTGTTTTACTATCCTCTTAGTGAGAAAATTCTTCCTAATATCTAACCTAAACTTCCCTTGCTGAAACTTGAGACAGTTGCTCGTTGTTCTGTCATCTCCCACCACTGAGAACAGTTTAGCTCCATCCTCTTTTGAACCCCCTCTTCAGGTAGTTGAAGGCTGCTATTAAATACCTTGTCATTCTCCTCTTCTCCAGACTAAATAAGCCCAGTTCCCTCAGTCTTTCCTCATAAGTCATGTTCCCTCAACCCCCCTCACCATTTTTGTTGCCCATCCACTGGACTCTCTCCAATTGTCCACATCCTTTCAGTAGTGGATCCTGAACTTGTCCTTGATGAACCTCATAGGATTTCTTTTGGCCTAATCCTCCAATTTGTCTAGGTCACTCTGAATCCTAGCCCTGAATCTGCTACTCCCCCACAGCTTGGTGTCATCTGCAAACTTGCTGAGAGTGCAATCCATCCCATTTTCCAGGTTGTTGATGAAGGCATTAAACAAAACTGGCCCCAGGACCAACCCGTGGGGCACTCCACTTGATACTGGCTGCCAACTAGATATCGAGCCATTGATTGCTACCTTCTGAGCCCAAAGCTCCAGCCAGTTTTCTATCCACCTTATAGTCCATTCATCGAGCCCATACTTCCTTAGCTTGCCGGTGAGAATGCTGTGGGACAGGGGCGATGTGCACCCCATGAGCATGGCGGTACACCTCCTACAAAAAGGCGCCGCTGACACTGTCAGCAGCGTCTGTGGGCGGTTGCCACTTGCCATCCCGCCGCTAACATTGCTGGTGGCATCTGCAGACAGTCCACAATCCCTGCTGGCTGCTACCACCGCTGCCAGCAGCGACTGAGGGTGGTTGCCCACCCTTGGTTGGCACTCGCCATCCCACCCTGCCACCAACAGCACTGTCAGTGTCTGCAGGAGCTCCTCCACTTACCACCACTGTGCTACCACTACTGCCGTGCCCCCCAGCTGGCAGGGGCACGAGTCATTCATGCTGTGGGAGACTGTATCAAAAGCCTTGCTAAAATCAAGGTACACCATATCCACCAGTCTCCCCGCATCTACAGAGCCAGTCACCTTGTCATAGAAAGCAATCGGGTTGGTCAGACATGATTGGCTGACTGGTCTGTAGTTCCTTTTTCCCTTTCTTAAATATGGGCACTATGTTTGGCCTTTTCCAATCATCTGGGACATCTCTTGATTGCCATGAGTTTTCAAAGATGATGGCCAATAGTTCTGCAATCACATCAGCTAACTCCCTCAGCACCCTTGGGTGCATCCGATCTGGCCCCATGAACTTGTACACATCTAGCTTTTCTAAGTAGCCCCTAACCTGTTCTTTCACCACACAGGGCTGCTCACCTCCTCCCCAAACTGTGCTGCCTGGTGCAGTAGTCTAGAAGCTGACTTCGCCTGTGAAGACTGAGGCAAAAAAGGCATCAAGCACTTTAGCCATTACTATATCCTCTGCCACAAGGTTGCCTTCCGCATTCACTAAGGGACCCGCACTTTCCATGATCCTCCTCTTGCTACTGACATACTTGTAGAAACCCTTCTTGTTACCTCTCACATCCCTTGCTATCTGCAACTCCAGTTGCGCTTTGGCTTTCCTGACTTCATCCCTATATGCCCGAGCAATGCTCTTATATTCCTCCCTAGTTGTTTGTCCAAGTTTCCACTTATAAGCTTCCTTTTCGTGATTTAGTTTACTGAAGTGTTGCCTGCTAAGCCAAGCCAGTCTTCTGCCATACTTGCTAGTCTTCCTGCACATTCAGATGGACTGCTCCTGCACTCTAAGTAAGGCTTCTCTGAAGTACAGCCAGCTCTCCTGGACTCTTCTCCCCCTCAGTCTGGCTTCCCAGGGGATTCTGCCCATGAATTCCCTGAGCAAGTTGAAGTCTTCTTTTCTGAAGTCCAGGGTTGTTACTCTGATGGTCTCCTTTCTTCCTTTCCTCAGGATCCTGAACTCAATCATCTCATGGTCACTGCTGCCCAAGTTGCCATCCACTACTACGTTTCTCACCAATTCTTCCCTGTTTGTGAGCAAAAGTCACCATCTGGTGACTTCTGACATCGTAAATGTATTTTTGTAGCGCCATTAAGCTCTGTGTTAGTAAAGTAATTAACAGATTGTTGGGTGGAGCATGAGATTGTGGGATTATTGGTGTTTTGTGAGGAAATATCTTTTCTACCCATCAGAAAGATGAAATCATTAGGGGAACCAGATCTTGGTGTGTGGGTGGGGTGGGAGAGAGCCTGGACTCAGCTGTAGTATTTACATCTTGATGGGAATGAGTGAGTGAGCCTGACCTACTTAAACATGTTGTAGGGTTTAGACATATTTATTAATACTCTTTCAAAATCACACTCTGAATGTATTTGTTTAGTATGGCTATGGTGATAACTGAAAGGTGTGCTAGCAACCTCAAGAATTTTCATACAGTATTTTCTGCATTCAAACATTCATTGTACAACCAGGAGACTTGTATGAAACCTGTGCTGTATGGTTTGGACTCCATTTAAGGCTCCTTTCCACTTGTTTGTGTGGATTTGTCAAATGTATTTGTCAGCATTTGTCAAACATAGCCCACGTGGTGCTTTTATTCTCTCTCTCTCTCTCTCTATATATATATATATATTTTTTTTTTAAATCAGTAGATAAGGCCCACAGGCTGCCTACGTGCTCAGGGCACCGCAGCAGTGAGGCACCCTTGCTACTACAAATAATTCAGCTGCAGCAAACAGTTCTCTAAGAAGCACAACAAAAATCATTGTGAAAAACTGACTAAGGCTCTGCTCTAAAAACTCTGCTCACCACAAGGCAAGGCAGCCCAAAATTCTGTTGCAGAAGACTCATTCTACATTGTGAAATGTGATGTGTACTGAGAAAGACTACAGGGAGTGCAAGGCACGAGAGTCTGGAACAGAAAATGGAAATAGTGATGCAATTACTTTTAAGTTTGGTTGTCTAAAAGCATCGGTCTCAGTTTGTTCATACATTGCCACCTTCTTCAGCTTAGTATTGAACTTCTAAACATAGTTCATTTTAGTTCTCAGTCATTCG